TGGGGAAAATTTTTCATTAGGAGATTTGGGTGGCATTCATTGTTAATATAAAATTTAAGTGGTGAGCTTAAAATTTTATTCTCAGGATATTTTGCCATTAATCTCCCCTTTCATATAAACTTGGCAAATATGCTTTTTATTACTCAGGTATTAGTGGAGCTACTACTTGGTATCTGTTTTTGCTAAGTTAGAAATTACATAGGTGGGTATTAAGTGTCACATTTATTTATCAGGAAAATTACTTTTTAATCCTTAATTTGGTGTATTTTAATTACATAATATCTTAATCTGTTAAATCTCAGAAAAATCCATGCTAATTATTAGTTTCAACCAATTTTGCCAAGTAAGAAATTCATTGCTTAGGAAAACTGATAGAAAATAAAAAACAGGCAGTAGAAAATATGCTCCCCCCCCACCAGGCCTAAACATGTTGGTGTTTGTTATACATGGATGTAAAGCTAAAATTTGCCACTGCTGAACTGAAAAATGAGGTAAGGACAGGAATTGAGACATCATCTAACTAATAAAAATATTGCAGACAAAGAGAAACATCAGAAATTAATATTTAATAACAGTTACTGGTAAGAGTTGAAATTAATGAAGTGTGCTTTTCTTGCCTTGAGGTATTGGGAATAATGGGTTTCTTGGGGTCAGCATGTACCACGGTAACAAAAGTTCTTTTGAGTTAGTATCTATCTGAAACTATTTTAACACAGAATTAATATCAAACAATTTTAGACATTCTCAACTAGGTAAGCATTAGTAACATTTTCATGTCTGGTGGGGGGTTTAAGAAGGAAAACTGGGAAGGGTTTAAGAAGGAAAACTAAGCTGCAGGTCTTCTGAAACTATACCTCCTAGTGCTCATGCTATTCTCAGAAATAATAGTGGTGTTTGCTGTTCCTTCTGTAGGGAATTCATACATATATTTGTAATTAGGTCTCTGGAGGGTTTGAGAGCATCTGACTTTGTTTTGTATGGAATGACTCTTAGAAACAAGGAAGGTATCTAATTGTCAGTTTTTACCAGTTAATGTTAAAGTGGTCACTAAGTAAATGTTAACTGGGTAGCATAACAGATGAAGTAATCTTGTCCTAGGTGTTAGGTAAACTAGATTTTAGTCCCATTTGCTGATTTTCTGTCTGGAAAAAATTTCTAGATTAGTTTTATAGCTAGATTTTTTATTAAAACAAATTTGGGGGGGTTATAGTGCCTGCTTTCCCAGAGACAAAGAGGGAGAGTGAGAAAGCAGCCTGCGCCCACCCCCGTGGGGGAAGGATGACCATGCTGTAATCCCTTTTTCATTCTCTAGGGATTTTGGGTAGGCACACACATGTACCTCCCATTTTCTTTTCTTTTTTTAAGAAGTTTTTGCTATAGGGTGCATGTACTCAAAAGTGAGAAGTCACCCCTCAAGGGATAGCCACACCGCAGCCCCTCCATTCTCCTTTCAGGACTCTGGGTGTTCATGCACTCCCGGTATAAGTTTCAGACCTTCAGATCTAGGACTCAAAAACCCGCAATCAGCCATGTGGGAGTCCAGCACCTTAACCACTACGCCTCTTATTCCCACCCCACCCCCCACCTTGTTTTCTAAGCTGCTATATCCATGACTTAAACTGGAGTTCTGTAGTTGGCCATTTGTGAACCAGCTGCCTTAACCAACATGGCACCTGCTGGCCCTAAGCCTTAACCCGTTTTAATTTCTTGTTTCTATAACTTAAGTAATTTGTTGCCAGAAGGCTGAAAAGTGTGCAGATAGTAAGCATTTTTAAAACCAATAGTAATTATTAACTATTTTGGAAGCAGTATTTCAGTCTTCAAGTCATTGTATTTATATGTAGTTGTCTTTGGGGAGTATTATTTGCTCATTCTCATTGGAAATATTACATTATGGTTATGTAAATGATTTATTAGAGGATTGACTGGAAACCACAACTAAGAGTAGGTAACTGCCGGTGTTAGAGACTAGAAACCTAGGATTCATAAATGGAAAAAGGACTCCTATTTTAAGTTCCCTTGGTAAGTTTACTATGAGTTCTTGCATTTATATCAGGAAAACTATTGGAAACCTTAGTGCTCAAACTTATTTTTGTTGTAGTATCCTGGAAGAGTGAGGCATTTGGTTTAAATAAATGATTTCCTAACAGTGATAAGAGATTTCTTAAAAATTTTCCAGTGATTCTCAAACAAGCTGACATCAAATAAGCAAAGAGGGCTATTTAAAACTAGAGTTTCTAATTGTTAAGTCTGGGGTGACACTCAGTGCTGTTGGTTGGTAAAATTCACTTTGAGAGCATCCCTGAATAGGGTTTGCTAAAGTATGATCTGGGATTACTTTTACATGAGAAGCATTAGTTAGCTGAAATTGCTTGGCCCTTTTTAAATTAGTGGTAGCTTAATTTTACATGACATCTCAGGAGATAACCTTAATTTGAATATCATAACTTCTTGACATTCAAAGATACTAGTGCTTGCTTTTCACATTACAGTTTATGTCTTATGGCATATGTGCAAAGGATTTGTTTGTATGTAAGTTATAAAGTAACATATCTGGAAAAAAGTTTTTTTCATCCTGAAAATTTTGAATACTAGGTTCAGACTGTGACTCCAAACAAGAAAATTGAATGTTTCACTGTAACTGTACCTCTTCCCAGACATTGACTGAGAATAACGTTCAAGTGTATGTTCTCTACAATCATAACACTTTTTTTTTTCAGTTTGTACATTTGTACAGCTTTATTTATCAGTCCAACTATAAAGATAACATGCCATGCTTAAACATTTTTTTTTTTTAAATAAGGTTTTCGTGATGGGGTTTGTGTGCTCCCCAGAGAAAGAAAGTGGGAAATCACCCTCCAGGGGCCACTATCACTTTTCCATTCTCCTGGGAATTGAGGCATGCATGCACACGTGCCCAGAGTGATTTTCAAGCTGCCAGGTCTGGGACTTTGCCATGTGGGAGTCCAGCTCCTAATCACAATGCCTGATTTTTTTTTTTTCCCCTATTTACAGTTAAACTTTAGAGATAACGGTACCATTTCTGTTGCTGTAGTCCACTATACTTGTCTCAGGAAACACTTTTTTTAAGCTCAGTTTAAAATAGTTTACTGAACTTTGTAAAGGAGATTGATAACCTCATGAAATGTGAATGCAACCAATTCAGTCATGTTTGGAAAATGAGCTGCAGTTTGATTGCAGTTCTTGATTTAATTGACAAAACAACCAGTTTGTTGCGCATATCATTATTTAACTTACTGTAGTACTGTTACCAGATTATAGAAATCCATTCCCTCAAATTAGCTAATATACATTAGCTAGTGGATAAACAGTGGGCCACAGAAATGTAAGAAATTCCATAAAACCCTTTATTTTTTCCCAATCAGTTTAATGGCATTATTCAGTAGCTATAATAATTTTTTCCTCCATCTGTATGGATCTTTACTCTGTCAGTGAGTGTTCTGGAATGATGTGTTCCTTATTTAAATCATTTTCCCTCCCTAACTGTAGAGCCTGTCAGGTCTTAGGGTTTAATCACATGTTGGTTTGAATGTAGGTGGAATTATCTCTATAGTGTGTTTCTTCATAGTAGATCGACCATTCACTGTCAGTCTGTATCATAGGAAAAAGTACATGGACTAAACGTTTAAAACCCATGAATCTGCTTACTTTCATAATCTTTATATTTGACATTGCTCACTTTTTCATCTTTCTATTCATTAGCCTGGTTTTTCTGTATTTTCTTTGCCCAAACTTCTGATTATCAAGATAAACGCTTGAATGTAGACTCATATTTGAGATCCTTAAGAAGGACATGTACTTTATTTTAGTCACCCATTTATGTTGAATTGTGGAAACAGTCACTGATAGAGGCTCTCCCATCCCACATGCTTGTTTTCGCTTTACCAAAATGTTAGATGCAGTAGACAGATAACTCTGTCTTGGGGGTTTAGGGCACAACATATCTGAGGAACTCTGACTCAATCTATCCCTTCTCCTTTCACAGGGCAGCAAGGCGAACCCCATCCCTACTCACTGGAGCTCAGCTTTGATTTTTAACCTCCCTTCCCCACCCTTCCAGAACACACACATTCCCATTCCAAAACTGATTTTATAAAGACATTTCAAACATACTGATGCAACTTGGTGTGCACTACAGCAAACTTACAGGTGTTTTTTTTTTTTGTTTCCAAACATGGGACCTGGATTTAATATGTAATTTTTAAAATTTCTATTTCTATTTTTTCTGCAGCAGTTGGGTTAGAGGAGGAGGAGCCTTTTAGCCTCTCATAAACTGACCTCTCTATTTCCTCGTGTATTTTTAAGATTGATTGATGATGTGGAAAGGGCTTTGCTTGTCTGCTACTAAGAACTTTACCCTTGCGGTTTTTGTGGAAGCTGCTTTTGGAAAGAAAAAAAATGAACTTTGCTGACTTGACATTTTTGCACCTCCCGTTTTTCTAATCTGGGCTATTTTTATTTTTGTTTTTTTACAGTGAGATTTTTTTGATCTTCAGCTACAGTAAGTTATTCCAATTTTTTTTTTACATTTTTCCTGACTTTCCGCTGATTTCCTTTTTATTGTTGTTACTAGTTACTATTTATTACTATTATTATTATACTTATGATGGTGATGATGATGATGATAATGACACTGATGATTTTTAACCGGATTAAAATCGAGTTTTTCTGAATGTTCATAAGAATTTCTCCAGCCTCCTGATTGACTTTGGAGTTTTACTTACGTCTTGGGAGAAAAGGTGAAGGCATTAGCATTTTTAAGTGGATTGATCACATAAACCTTTTCTCCTCCAACCCTCCCCTTGCCCTAAAAAAAAACCCTACACTGGAAATAATTTTACTGGCTGTTAAGTCTGTGACCTTATTTTTCCTGATCTTTAACTTAACTGTTTTAGAGCATCTCTGGACGTCTGTATTTTTAATTTTTTTTATTTTTGTTTTTTTATTTTTAATCTTTCATTTGTTAAATTTTTAAACTGTGCTGCAATAAAATGTGTGTGGTACTACGTAACACCTATGATGATGATGGCACTTTGCCAGAAAGCCATCTTCCTCCTGTTTCCCTTGAAATCCCATCCTGCTTTTCCTGTACACTACCCCTCACAAACCACAAGCTGCAGCAACATGGATGCCCAGCCTGGAACAACAGCAGCCAGGATGACCTGGAGCCAGGGGGCCCTTCGGATGAGATGCACACCCTTCCTGGGTGATGGTAAGAGGTGTGAGGTCCACTTGGTTTCATTGGAAAGGCTAGGAGATAGACGCATTTAGTTGGTGTGGTACAGGTCAGAGCCTCTAATAATAGTTGGGTTAAGCCATTTGAGTGTTCCTCCAGATGTTTCCCAAGGGAGGCAACCCCAGTTATACATAAACTAATGGGATGAGTTTCTAATTAACTTTGGTTGTTTGAAAGTTTTTGGTAATTAAAAAGAAAAGCAAAAGATTACCTATACTTTAGAACAAAAGACTGTTTTAATAATTAGTTACATGGATTTCTCAGGCAGTCTTTTCTTAGATACAAATTAGTAAGAATTTTCCATTATTTAGAATGATCTTCCTTGGGTTTGTGACATCTTTGATATCCTACTTGAGACTTTATTTCATTAAAATTTAACATGAATCCATTATAGAGATATGCTGTAGTATTAAAATGCTATCTCACTGAAAAGTTTTTAAAAATTTGAGAAAAGAATAGGCTTTCTAGCTTCAGAAAATAGGGATATCTGTTTAATTTTTGCATCCAAATGAGGAAAGGATCTGGGACTGACATCAATAGTGATTTTAGCAACTGGTAGTATTTAATTGGGTACTGTAGAATATTCTCATAACTGTTTTAGAGTTGCTCTGATAGTTTTTCAGCTGGGGCATAAGTAGGATAGTATTATAAGGTATTTTCAGTGCTCCAGGACTAGGTTTATTCTCATACTTGCCACCTTCCCTTAGTCTGATAAAAGTAAATAAATACCTACTTAAAGTGAGAACCTGGGATCAGAAGACGTGCTGGACTCCTATCTATGTAGTTGACTGCGGTTCAAGTCCTGGACCCAGTGGCTTAAAACTTCATGCTGAGCCTGTGTACCCATGATTCCAAGAAGAATGGAGAAGGGATTGTGGCGTTACCAGTCCTGATGGGGCACTAGTTCTCACTTTGTGTCTCTGTCTCTCCTGTGAATGCACATTCCCTATCGCAAAAATCTCTCTAAAAATAATAAAAGAGGGCACCTAAAGTGACCTCAAAGGAAGGCAGAACAGGAGAAAGTTTAAAGCAAAAGGTCTAAAGCTATCTGGAAAAGAAATGGGAATATTTAATGGGTCCAGGTTTTATTGATGCCCTCTATAATAAGAGCCATTTCTCCTTTTGCTGATTTTGTGGCAGCTATTCATTTTAAGTTCAGTTTGATTCATTTATTGCCAATTGTACAAATCCACTATTTAGGTTTGTTTATTTATTAGTTGAATGTAAGAGACAACACCCAACAACATCTGATATCATGATCTACTCTCAGATTCATCCAGCCCCATATGGGCATACTTGTGCCTCACATATATAAGGAGTACTTGGGGTGCAAACCTGGGACCCGCTCATCTGCTTCAGCCTTGTAGAACTTTGTACTTTACTGCTGTGTCACCATCCAGCCCCAAAGTTAATTTTATGGGTCACAGTCTTCTGATTTTTAAGATTAAAAAAAAGCACAAGTTTTTATATTTAGTTTCGTGAAGCTTTGGGAGACTTGGAAAATCACTGTTGATTTAGATATAAATATAGCCTGTAGAAGCATATAGAAATGGATACATAACGGACTTTAAGTTTAGGGAATGGTTTTAAGAGGAAGTGAGGTGAACTAATACTTAAGGCTAGATCTTAAAAAATTGATATACTATCTGTGTCAAGGAGTTTATATTCAGAAATCAATGGTGAGCCATTGAAAGATGCTGAAGTGAAAAGTGTCAGTTTCCATTTTTAGAAATGTTCTATTAATAATAGGGTATAAATGGCTAAGAGGCGAATGAGGTTGGAGTAGGAGATAAGGGAGTTATTAAAATCCAAGGAAGAATAATGGCCTCGCCTGGATTAAAGGGATTAATATTAGAAAGTTTAGATTTAGTGATGGATGGCCATAGATTGGACAAGACAGATTTGGCTTGACTCCTTCGTTTATAGCTTCTGGATGAATATAGACACTGGAATGTAAACAAGGGAACAGTCTAGTTTCGAGGTTGGGTAAACTATCTTTGAGAAACTTATGAAACTTTTGCAGATTTATTGATTAAATATTTGAGTGCCTATCTAGAAAGCATCAGGCTTAAACATAAAGGGATGAAACCAAGCATTGTCTGGCCTTTTTGGTATTTCCAGTCATTGAGGGGAGAAGTGAACAATAGCACTTGGACCATCTGGTATAAGGATAGTAAGGGAACCAAATTAAAACCTGGAGGTGGAGTTATGCTGCTAGGGAAGTGACTGTAAAGTAGTTAATGGCAAAGTTTAGCTGTGGAAGTTGAATATCCTATGAAAGCACAAGTAGTAGGGAAATAAATTTGGCCTCTTGAGCAAGAAATACTTCTGGTTAATAGTCACCAGGCATACATAGAATAAGATGTTTTAAAAAGATAGGTAAAGACCAAGCATTCATAGTACAGTGCCTTACAAACTTGTGTTTAAGATCTGCAATATTTGGAGATCAGCAGTTAGTGTAATGGCTATGTCCCTGGATTCCCATGTAGTCAACCGTGGTTTGAGTCCCAGACCTGGTGGCTTAAACTCATGCTGGGTGTGTGTGCGTGAGTGCCCAAGATCCTGAGAGGAGAATGGAAGAGAAGGTATTGTGGCGTGGCCATCCCCTCCCCCACCTGGGGGGGGTGATGCCTTGCTTTCTGTCTCTCTGGGGAGTGCATGCGCCCTATAGTAAAAACCTCCAAAAAAAGAAAAAGATCTACAATACTTGGGGGACACAAAGGATAATCTATTAGAGAAATGTAGGGGAAAATGAGATGTGGTCTATATCTCAGGAATTTCCTTCTGGCTTTTGTATGGGAAATGTTAAGTAAGCACAGTACCTTAGACCTATTTGAGTAGATCACTGTATCTTTTGAAAAAGCAGTAACCATACACCTGGTTTTTTAATAAGTTTTGTTTTTAATGAGCAAATATAATTAGTCTGAAAAGGTTAGGTTCATTGAGAACTGGTCAAGCTCCAGAAAATCACTTGGTATTTCTGTAACACTCAGTTCGGTCAGATACTGTACAGGCACTTTGAGATTGGGAAGGAACATAGAAGCTGCATTTCTCCTTTTGGGAAATAAACTGCGTATTTACCACTGGAAGTTCTTTTTTTTTAATTATTTAATTTTATTTATTCATTCATTTAATTTGATCAGAGATAGGAAGTGAGAAAGCCAGCTGCCAGGACCAGGACTTGAACTGTAATCAGCCATGTGGGAGTGTCCAGTGTGCCTTAACCATCATGCCACCTGTTGGTCCCCACCACTGGATGTTCTTAATTTGTGTTAATTTACTTAATTATCATAACCTTGGTAACTGTTTTCTTTATTTCTTTTCTTTCTTTTTTGTTTTGGAGAGGTTTTTGCTCTAGGGCACGTGTGCTTGCCAGAAAGTGAGAAATGACCCCCTGGGGTGATGGCCATATCGCAGTCCTTTCTCCATTCTCTCTGGATCTTGGGCACGTGGCGTGAGTTTAAGCCACTGGGTACAGGACTCAACCATGGTCGGCTATGTGGGAGTCCAGCAACATAACCATTTTAGGTTCTGGTGGTCCCAAGTAACTGTTTTCATTCACATTTTAGAGGTGAGAATATTGAAGCATAGAATTTAATTTGTCCAAAGTTAGACATACTTAAGTGGTGTAGTGCATGTAACGCGGGCAGTATGCCTGCAGGTTTGAACCTTTAATCATTAAACTAGATGGCTTTGATCAACCTGATGTGCTATCTATTTTATAAAAATAAAACTTAATTGGGTTAAAGTACAAAGCAACAGGAATCCTGCCTTGGACTTTCTGTTTTCTAATTGCCAGGGGCCTTGGGCCTGAGAGAGAAAGCATTCCCTAGAGGGATATGGTTTTGCTGCATTCCTTTCTCCATCTTTACATTCTGTCTGGATTTGGGGCACACATCCATGTGCCTGTGTAGTCTATATGGACCAGTATTCTTGTCAGTCAGCCATGTAGTATCAGGCGCTCAACCAATTGACAACAGGGACAACTTTTATTTTCAAAATTTTATAAATTTTATGTTGGTAGGTTTTGCCTTCAAATTTATCTGCTTTATTTAGTTTTAATTTGCCAGAGGGCATGTTGTTCCTCAGAGTGAGGGAAAAGGAAAGAGCACCCCACAATATAGTCATGCTACTATACTATCTCTTCTCCATTTATACATCATATCCAGATTTTAGGCATACACGTGCATGCATCTGAGATTTTCTTTTTTTTTTTTTTTTTTTTTCCCTTTTTTTTTTTTTTTTGGGAGTTTTTTTTTTTTTTTTTTTTTTTTTTTTTTTGCTATAGGGTGTGTGCACTTGCCAGACAGAGAGAGA